CTAAGTTCAATTTCAATTTTGTTTTTTCCTTCTTTTTTTTTCGTGGACCTGACATCCCTGTCGTAAAGCCCTCACTGAGGGCATACTGGCACAACAACTTTGGGGCAGGTGTCTACCTTGTATCACGTCCAGTGGGGTGTTCGTTTTTTTTCTTCTTTTTTTTGTGGTTGGGAGTACGTCGTTTTTTTAAGTTTGGCCTTTTTTTTTTTTTTTTTTTTTTTTTCCAGTAGAGTACCAAAAAAGAAACACAACGGACCCTAGGCTTGGCAAAACTCGGTGCGCAGTGAAAATCAGGGTCGGCAAAAACAGGCTCGGAGGTAGTGGTGGTTTAACGATAGGTAAACTAAGGCTCGGAGGTAGTGGTGGTTTAACGATAGGTAAACTAAGTTTGTAAGAATTGTAAGCCACTTGTACAAAATCGAATGTTATACGACTAATAATTCTCGCATATCTCTTCTGCAAGAAACTGGTTAGCAAAGGGTAGTCAATGTCGTTTACAAAAATGACACCTCTCTACATTACTAGCTCGTATTACCTTCATTCCGATACAAGAAAAAGTGAAATTTCGAACATCCCCCTCAACACCCCACTCATAACCTCACCACATTTTTTTCAAAAAATTTTCTGCCCTACAGTGCAGTCCGAAGACCAGCGATCATTCAAAACCAACAACTACTTGTTTCAATCTTCTACAATAGTTTTAGAACCCACATCAAGGGGGGGAAAAAATAAGCGTTTGGGTTCAAACATCGCACCCTACCATACGGTCCTATACTGTAGCCCTAAACCTGTGTCGAGATTGGGCGCCTCAAATCTCCTTTCCCTTTCATAACTTAGGCTGGGCGGACTTCCTTTTGTAAGATGGACCAATGTTATGAATGCGGCGGTGCTCCACCGCCACCGCCTCGTCACATAAATAAAACGCCTGATAATTATCGTCGTATCTTGACTGAAAGTAGCACCAAATGTAGCTATAATGACCGGGTGTTCTGTTCGGTGAAGACAATAGTTTCAGAATCGGCTAGCCTGCACTTCACAACACGAGCACTGGAATGCGCGTGGGGAAATCAATGTGTGTCAGGTTCAACAACAAATGCCTAGCCTTCTCTCTCTCTCTCTCTCACACACACACACACACACAAAGGTTGGGGTGAGTAAAGTCAACCACTTTTCTTAGGGGTATCGCTAACTCTGGGCAATATGGTGAGTCCTCATCTATCAGTAAAATGCATCCTAGGCAGACTGTCGGGGTTCAACCTCCTGATGAGTCGGTAAAAGTCCGACGAAACAGTCACGTTTTTTTTTAGTGTATAGCGAATATGACAACACACACACAAAAGGAAAGAATCTATCCAGCGGCCTAACTAAGTTGGTAAGGCACGCAAGTGGCATTCAAGAGGTCTTGGTTCAATCCCCATTGGCCTCGTGTACCTTCTGGCCATGCTTGGTGCCCGCCACCTAGAGATAGCCTGTTGGTCCCCCCAATTGGCATTAAAGAACAGTCTCTGTTAATGTTCATAGGGGGAGGGGTAATCAGGGAGGCACAGCGACTGGCCACTCAGATGATGCTCGGTCCCTCTGCTACCAATTGTCCCCTGGGCGGTGTCCCCCATTGGGGGTTCCCTGACGGCAATCAAGGCCACCCTGGGCTGAAAAGACCACCCGATGTCAGATTAGACACAATATTGAATTTACTTGGGCTGGTTAGTTCGATGATTTATATATATATATATACATATATTTATATATTTATATATATATGGAAAGTTTCAGCGTACTTTGCAAAATAATGGGACGAGGCCGGGGACCTCACAATTCAACCCGGAGTTATCCTAGCAGCCTCAGCCAGTTTCGCTTATGAGCATAGCTCAGAGTCACTCCTCTAGTTCTGGTTCTACCCCTTTACCTGCTGGAAACCGGGTCCAGCGTCCCATATTAAAACAAAAATTCAACTTTTCAAAAGATAATCGTTGAAGCTCATTTGAAAAAAGGCAGCATTTGTCATCTGGGGTTGCTCTTCCCTGTGCCCACTTTTCCTCTCAAAATGATGCACCTCAGTAGGGATGAGCCCATGAACCCAAGATAATAGCCTTCGTTTCCTAAATAGCCGTTTAAAGCTCAACATTCCTAAGAAGGCTAACTTGTCTCCTAAGGACCTAGCCCGATCCTTGTTAATCATGTGTGTCTGATAACCACGGGCAAGCGGCAAAGCGACCTTCACGGTCTATCGTAGACATTCTACTGTCCAACGCCCAGGTTTTCCCAAACCAGATAAAGTTCTTCTGCTGCCAAGTCTACATGGATAATTCTTCTTATCGACTGCTTTACTTGTCTGTGTTGTTGAAGGGAAGCTACTTGTTCGCCCTTAAAAACCTTGGCGTTACGGGCCGCCTAGATAGTCTCCATCAATACCCCTCTGCAACAGAGGGCCACATATCCCCACCCTGAGGAGTAGTTCCCTTCTGTAGGCAGTATTCCCATAACCATCCAGTCATTGGACCAGTCCCACTTTTTACCCACAATTCTATCCCAGTGTAACTTCCACCACCCCAACAACTCTTTCACCAGGGGCAAATCCAGCCACAGATGTTAATGCCTCAAGGCCACCGCCCTTTTTTTTTAGGGAAAAATTCCGAAATGCCCCCGAAGTTTGCGTTTATTTGCGGTGTGCCCCTGTGAAGGCCGACTTACCCTATGGTGCCCCTCGCGCCTCTGAAATTTTCCGTAGGCCCCTGTCAGCACGGGGCGTAACTTTCTGATATGCCCTTACTAGACCGCTGGTGGCGTTTCGTCGGTCCATCGTTGAAATGCCCTCACGAGGGGCACATATCTTTCTGTGATGCCCTTGCAGCAGTGGCGACAGGAATTTGAATTCGAAGTGGTAGGCATTTCATGCGCCGCCACATAAAAACGATGCAACAGTGAGTCTTCGAGTTCGCCGCGTCGGTGATCTATGAGTTGGAGTGCATAGGGCTACCGTGCGAAGGGGAGCATGCGCACGCGCGCGTGTGTGTCCATGCTCATCACCCTCTTCCCTCCTCCCTCCTCCTCCTCCTCCGTCCTCGTCGCTCTCCTCTCTTCTCATCCAGCCTCCATCCTCTATCCTCGTCCGTCATCGTCAGAGTCCTTGTCCTCCCTACTCCTCTTCCCCTCCTCTTCCCACGTTCCTCCCTCCTCCAACTTTCTCCTCGTCACCCCTCCCTCTCCTTCTTGATTGTCGACCTCGTAACCATCACCATGGCCGTCTTCTTGGCGTCATCGCCCATGCACGTGCGCGCGTCTGCATATGTGTGTGTGTGTGTGTGTGTGTGTGTGTGTGTTGGGTGTGTGTGTGTGTGTTCGTGTCATCTTTTTGTTTAGTTGTTGAGGACAGGTGGTATATGAATGACGAATCGAAGGTGTTTGTGATTCGTTTTTTAGTCATTCGGTGTGTGTGTGTGTGTGTGTGTGTGTGTGTGTGTGTGTGTGTGGGTGTGGGTGTGTGTGTGTGTGTCCGGCCCCTCCCCCCTCCTCCTCCATCCATGCTCGTGGCTCTCCTCTCTTCTCCTGCAGCCTCCATCCTCTATCCTTGTCCGTCATCGTCATAGTCTTTGTCCTCCCTACTCCTCTTCCATCCTCTTCCCTCGTTCCTTCTCTTCCCTCCTCTTCCCTCGTTCTTCCCTCCTCCAACTTTCTCCTCGTCACCCCTCCCTCTCCTCCTCGATTGTCGACCTCCTAACCATCACCATGGCTGTCTTCTTGGCATCATCGCCCATGCACGCGTGCGTCTGTGTGTGTGTGTGTGTGTGTGTGTGTGTGTGTGTGTGTGTGTGTGTTTGTGTGTGTGTGCGCG